CTACCGTGTATCAGGTAACTGTTGTCAACAACGGAGACTCTGCCAAGGTTACCGTAAATGCAATCATCATTCCACTTGTCATTGGAAAAAAATGAAATTTGCGGATTTAGCGAGTTTATTAGAGAAAATTCATTTACTTCCAAGTTGTCCCATTCACACGCTCAATCCTCAAACTTACGAAGCACCAAAATGAAATTTCACTTTCACTTGACTTCATCAGCGGTTCACATAGCGTTACATAAACGGCATTCAAACTCTTGACCCCTCGCATGGAAGGCCCATTTCATTACACAGCGATAGCCAGCTCATAGCTACGGGAAACACTGATATGCGATTGCTGCGGGTTCAATTTTAACCCGAATAGATGTAGTCAAATCTCTCATACCGGTTTAGTTGAATATCCTCAAACAATTTTTTTCCATAGGCTGTAATAATATTTTTAGTTACGCATCCTCTTGTTTCAATGTAAAATACTCAGCACTGCTGCAAGCATGTCTGATCGTGGTTTGCTATATTCATCCGTGATCATTTACAGGGGTCAATATCAGAAACAACCTGCAAGTGACCTGAAGTGATTCGATAATTATGAAACTAAACAAATCGGTTAAGCAAGTTTCAGTTCAATACCGAAGCTTGATGGGGATATCGATGTATGCTGTGATCGTTTAATAACCCGATGAACCAGAGGTGCGATTGTACAATGGTGGGCTTACATGAAACTAGATAGATGTTACTCTAACTCGTGGGACTTATGAACATTCACCTGGAGATTGGCTAAAAAGCAGTAAAACATTGGAATTTCCCTAAAACAACAATCTAACAACAACAATCAACAATCAAAAAGGAAATTGAATACGTTTTTCACACTCCATTTCGCTTGTTCACCGAACTTGGTAATTTCAATGGAAACGTTCCATCACCAGCCTAGGTGACATTGTCCATGCTTGTAAAGTAGTAGTGTTCTACTTGTACCACGTTCGTTTATGTATGTGTTCTTACCCACCGATTATTTTTGTCCCTTGTTCTCAATGTGTTTGACTTGGTTCGTCCGAGCTACGAGAACCGAGTTTCAATAGTTTATCAGCCTTTTTCACATATTTGGCATGATCAAGCTGCACATGTGAGATATCATTCAACATAACCTCTGACCACGTTTGTTATATACATGTACCCCATGAGAAATAAACTTTGGTTAGATCTCTATGGATCATTGAGTTTGCGGATTTCAGGTTTTATAATTATTCTTAGTGGAGTTTACCTTGTGCGGGCTGTATAACAAATGTGCCTGCCAATCATTATCGTTTGCAAAAATCTCTAGGAAAAGCTATTTATTATCTCGCACCTAACTTTAGCATTGGCAAGTTTTCAATGTTTCCTATTTGATCCGCTACTCACAGTGTTCTTTATCGTGTCATTTATATCCCGGTATAGTTTGACCAAGCATATGAAACCAATATATCTATTCAGCGTTTAGTTCTGCAAAATCCCTTATCGAATTAATCTAAACAACCATACCAAAACGATAAAAGCAATACATGCAGAGTATCAACGACTTGCAACAACCCGTTAGTTTTACGTTGCAACAGTATCTTTCTTCCACGGCGAGAGAGAAAGGAGTTATACAAAGACAGAAGGAATGCTGTACAACTCTAAGCAGCACAACCGTGGTTGGCTTTGACCAGAACGCGCATTGCATCACCGGTCGAACATAAGGCGTTTGTAGCAGAGTTTCTACTTCAGGATGTAGGTTACACAGCACAATCACTTTAAATCAACCATTCAGTCATTGAGAACATCCCTCAACATCATAAATTGTTGGTGGGGGTTAACTCTTACGGCTCAGCTACCTAGCTACTGCAAGGGTCAAGGGTGCTTTCGTCTGATGAAAGATAAAATGGCAAACTTATTGAAATATCCTACAACCCGAGTTACTGCTGTAAGGTGAATTCACCGATGAATCTAAATAGAACCCAGATTCCATTTTCTCAAGTTCAGGGAGCTTGAACACTGCCACCTTTCTACGTTTAATTTAAATTACCGTTTAATTTGATAAAATAATTAGCTGATAGTTTGTCCCTCGTTGTCCTTGTTTGAATCACACCTTGCGCGGCAAAATGTTCTGAAAACGGGTTTCCTCGAAAGTGAGCTATACGGTCAATACAAAGAGCCTACATATGCGTAGCAACGGTAGCCTTTATCAAAATTGGTTACTGGCAAGCACTGTAGTATCCATTTGCCAAATATCCTTGTCACGAAGTTGTTGTTTTTAATTTTCCCTTCACTGTACAGAACACTCTATACACCCTCTTTTCATTTTTTGGTTTTAAGAGTATCCACAAGCCTCTCCGGCAGTAAGTAGAACACATTTTCGATATGCAAAATAAATGGGTTGCTATTTTACGCTTCCTTCCTTCTTCCCTACATGTAACAGACCGTTTTAAGTTCTTCTTTTATGCGAATTCGTTTCGTTGTCATTTCTTCAAAGTCTGGGACTGAGCGTACAATAGCCATTTAAGAGTGTATGTGAATGTGAGATAAGTGACTGAGCCAAATGACAGTGAGAACACTTCCGTTTAATCAGTCTCTGCGGATTAAGAAGCCAAAGAAATTGGTGATGTACGCCTGCACACTGCCAATTGACCCCCCCCCCTCCACCTGAAAATAAATGCAGTGCATGAACAGAAAATCGCATCCGTATAGTAGTATGGATTTGCTCTACCGTGGATTATTTCTTTCTTTTCTTTTGTGGGAAGAAGCGATTCTGTGCTAGTCTGCTGTCTAGCTATTGTTTTATAGATCTATAGAAAGCAGTTCAGATTTGGCTTATTTTCGCGAACTTTTCTTTTGCTATCTATTCGAAGAAAACGTAACTTTTCAACACGGATCTATTTACACTTCGGTTTCCGTGAAATAAGCTCTCAAGACCTAGTTTCCAAGAGAGAAAACCGGAACATAAGCTCTGTTATATTTTGAAATTTCCACATGAGTAGTCTTTAAATATTTTATGAAATGATATTTGAAACGTTGGAGCATACTGTAATTTTATTACAAGGACTTATTTTTTACAGAATGGAGCTACATCTATACAGAACGAGAACATACCTGGTGATCAAATTGTCTTAGCTTATCGATTATAGCGATGTCCTAACCCATAAAACCGCGAGTGAAATCATTCTAATCTGGTCGTTCAACTAATAGAGTTATTGGGTTGGATTAAGACTTCACTCCTTTATGTCACACCTTATCCCACCCCCTACTTTTTAAAACCAAAGATTTTCTCCCCACTTGTCAGGGCACAAAACTAACAAGAATACGGAATCTTAAATCTGTATAAATTTATTTATGCAAAATAGAAACAATAACCAACGAGATCTTTTTGGTATCCATATCAACCTAAAATCACTCATTGACAAGAGCGATTGAATATATGATTTTTCCAATCAAGCACAAACAAGTACAGTTAAAGTATTTTTATACCCCTGAGCAATATGCTATCATGTTGTGCCTACCAAGCGTATCTAGGTCAGTGATTATGAGTTAAGCATAAAATCCGTACGCAGGGTGCTATTAGGAACCATTTTGGCGAAACTGACGCGGGAAAACATCTAATTATTATTGTTCTGTTTTACTGTTTATCATTTTCAACGAATATCAGTAAATGGTACGTTATCCCTGAAGGTACTGCTTTTGACTAATCGCATTGAATCGGTCTTACAAAACCGCGATACGCCTCGAGATCAGTGAACTACGTTGCAATAAAAGAAGGTTACTATGAAATAGTGTTCTTAGTGCTAATCACATTTTGGCCAATTTTTCATCAGATTCTGTGCAGATAGTTAACGATTTTGCTGTTTAGAGTATCTTATCTAAGTGATAATTAAAGAAACGTGTGGCATTTTCCGTACCAACAAAAATGATCGTTCAAGTTTGACTTACAAGATACATTTGGATATTTCTAAAAATGTCAGAAAAATTTAGCAATTCATCGGAAAGCAGTTTTTACGTATGATTCGTTCATTCCGTGAATACGTTTTCTCTGGAAAAAGAAGCCGCTGTTGAATTACCAATGGAGTTAATGCCAGCTCTTACAATAAATCTTAGAAAATTGAAAATTAGATAATCTTGTAAGTTTTTCTGTCGAATCTGATCAAAAATAATTCTTGTAATATTTATTTACTTCCCATAATTTACCTACAAAGGTGGACAGCTTCTGACATCTACCCTGGGGGTGCGAAACATACTTGTAAACTGGTAAACATATGCAAAATGTATAGTTTCTTTCGGTTATTCATTATATAAGTTGTTGGTTCAGCTGACTACTTTTTGGAATGGTTGCAGTATAAGCCAGATGAACATCAACTCAAACGCTTGCATCCTCATCCTTTTTAGGTAAAAACTACCAAGACACTATTTTATTACCTCCTAGCTATGTGCTTAGGTCTTATAGCTATAACCTCGGGCAAATGATGCGTGTTTCCCCATAGGAACATGAATATTTGAGTGCTGAGCATACGTGAAGTAAGCCAATTCTTTACTCGAACCAAGAGCTCATGTGTTGGTCCATTTATGGTCGATGGTATTCGCATTTCAACGCCCAATCAGAAAGATGCTCAGTTGTGTTTAACTGTTGTTCTCACAGCTTAATTTATCATTCTATTTTCAAATTAAGTGTTTTTCCTCCATGTCGTTTGCCATCACTCACTTTCACGTGATATTTTGTTTCACTCACTCTCTCTCTTTGACAGCTTGTTATTTTACGATATAACGAGGCAATGGGTGCTGGTTTCGTTCACCTGCTCACAACCAATTTGTGTGTGTGGGCCGACATATCGGTCGGAAAGATAGACAAAACACTATCGTACGGTAAACAGTGGCGCACCAAAAGTGGTGTCATGATGGAACAGTATCGTAACTCGACGGATCATGTGCACATCACCAACTGTACAGACGATAGCCATTCGGCCACACATTCACTCAATCTGATTGACATATCGTTCTATTTACTCCCGACAGTGAGCGAATATTGTCTACTGGCGGCGGCCTTACTGTACGAGATCACTGTTCGCATCGGACAGCCTAGTTTTATTGAGATTGAGAAGTCAAAAGAAGCGAAACAGGTATGTTCGCTTTTCAAAATTGTTCAGAAAACAAAATAATAAAATTTTACTTTTGATGTGTAACCGCTCGTTTTAAATTTTTCACTATCAGATGGCATAGTGCATTTTAGAAGGAATTGAAATATGATTGGTTTCACACGATTCTGAGGGTAAATCTTTCCGAAACATCAGAAATATGTAATTGGATACCGTGTATCAACCGTTAAAGTAGCGTGGAAGAATTTGATTGTACAAGAAGTGTAGATAACAGCGAGATACTGAATCCAAAAGTATTGTGTGTCAATCAAAGTAATAAGACGAGAATGCAAAGTAATATTGCTTGATCGTCTTCTTTTGTTCCGAAGTGTTTCATGCAAGTTTCAAGTCACTCACAATAAGAACACCGAGTAGAATCCTTGATTGTTAACTTCACATTATCGCAATAAATTAATTTATGCGTGCGACGGTCAACTGATTCCCCCTAATTTCCGTTATAGCCCATATGTCCTCTCACAATTTGTCGTTCCAATTTGCTTTCCCTTCTGAACATCTTAACAAAACTGATGACGCTTCATCGCGGCTTGAGGCCTAATGGCCGTGCTCTCGTATTCACATGAACACTTCAGTCTCCAAGTACTGTGATATTCTCAAAATCACTAATGAAGCATTTGCTCATTAGATTAGCGACAATCTGCCTTATCCGATAAACTGTTACCTACAACCTTGTTATTTCGACTCCACCATCAGATTCAGTGTTCGCTATTTTGCATTGCATGAAGATATTTAATTGAAATTTAGAAATACACCATTGGTTCACAATGCCACCGAGAGGAGGCATATGGGCGTGTTATTTTTATAATAGATTAGTGCAGTATTTTAATATGCTTTTGGGGCAAAGTTTCTTTCGCAGTGCGGAGAAAACCTGAAGTGTAAGGTTAAGAAGCACTGTACAATTGTTTCCCCCAGTTTAGTTTCATCAGGCGTGCCGCATGGAAGACACAATGAAAGGATATACTCAGTTACCCGTGGTCAAATGCGTCAAGTGTGCCCTTCTGCTCATGCGCTCGTCTTTCCGTTGGGTTCACAATGTTGATGAAACCGTTACACATGCAAAGCTTTTTGCATTTTATTTAGTCCTCCCCGTGGAACTATGAAATAGATAAATAAATTGAAAACAGATTTCTCTTTTTACTTATTTTTTAATATTGTTATATTTGAATTTTTCATCAATTCTCGCCGGTCACAAGGAGAACATTTTGAACTGACCCATAGACACGGAAACCGACACAAGTTAAGTAAATGTAACTTCTAGTCCAGAATGAACGCATAATTTGTCGATATTCGACTAAATATGCAGATTAAAGTATTCCCGGACGTTGAGATGACTTAAACTTTCCTCGAAGTTTGTCCGAAATAGCCACATAATGTTTTTCCTCAAGATTTCAGCGTACAGGATTGCAAGAATATATTTTAATGGATCAAAAGAGACCAATTTCGATTCACCAATAGCTCAAATGTTAATTGGCTTCTGCTTTGGAAATAAACAAATATTTTGATCACAAGTTTCTGGAATTCCTCATTTGCATTCAATTCGCTCAACTTCATTTTCATCTCAATTACAGTCCAGTCGGCATCGAAATGAATGTCGTGACTGTAGCGCAAGTGCTGGTTCATGGTTTGGTATTATAACGGTCTTGCTGGTGATTGCTCTCACCATCGTCACCGCCACAACACCGAAGTACGTGGAGAAAGCTGCCAATTTCTGGAAATCCGTAATCATTCTGGCTGAGGAAGCAATACTGTGCCTGTTCGGAATCGCCTTTGTGATTATGGCATTTTGCCAAACCAGAAAACTGAAGTTCAGCATTGCAACTCGACAAAGTCATGTGGAAGAATTTCTCCTGTACACAGCTTTCTTTTTCAGTGCCAACTATACCATATCAACCATGATTTTGTCCGCGGATTTCGAGGATGAAAATCGTAATTTTGAAACAAAGGTAAGAGAAAGCAGATGTTTTCTGTTATCTGCAACTGGAACGTTACATTTATTTTTACTGTCCGACGAATTCGGAAACATACTTGCTATGATGGTTTAATAATGTGGTTTTCGCTTCAGTGCCAGAAGAATCCCAGTTACGATAAGGTTCTATTCGAGCGACAAGTCCTATCCATTTTCATGAATGACTGTATAGTTTTATTTGCGTTGCTTGATTATAAACAGACCCTATGTTCTCCGATCTGGACAAACTAGACTATTTTTAGAAATTTATCTCTTGAGAACATTTGTTAAGCCTTTGTTTTGACCGTATTGTCAAAAAACTTTAACTTTTTTCTCTCCTTCATTAGTTAGTTTCAGTCCGATTCTGAACTTTTGCAATGCCGGATGACATTTTTCATTTCATGGTAGTTCAAGCAAGATTTGTTGTGTCAGAGAAGTCTGAAAGTGGCATCCTATGGTTGTCCATACATATTACTTTACTGAAAACTGAAAATGCTGAAAGCAACCCCAAAAGATGCAGAGTCGTGGATAAAAGCGAAACTGGTTGACCTGGAGCGTCAATACCGAATAACACCATCGAGACAAAAGTCACTTGTCACTCCTGAGCATTTGTCCGCTTTAAAGGAATTAAAGGACAAGTCTGATTTGGTCATTTTAAACCCTGATAAAGTTTCTGGGGCTGTCCTGATGGACCGTGCAGATTACCAACGAAAGATGGAATGTATCCTCAATGACCCCAGAAAGTTCTTACGAGAAAAGGCATGTGATGACTCCAAAGAGCTGGAACGAAAAATTACCTCTGAAGTTCAGTTTCTATTAGAAGGAAATTTCATTGATTCTAACACCGCGCGGGACCTGAAGCCGAGAGGAACTCAGATTCCCCAACTTTATGGTC